ATTGCCCTGGACCTTGGAGATTGATGGGCAAAACTGGAAAGTTACACCCGACCCTAGACTCGATTATGATACTACACTAGGTGTCGGATTGGGCTGTCTTTGATRTRCCAATCARTGAGATCCTTRGMGGGGGTCAAAACCTGGGTATGTTGGGATAGTCCGAGAATTCATCTGAGTGGGTGATCATAGTGACAGGATCAGCCCCTTTGTCGGAGCTAAACTATCTAACTATCACTCGACTAGAGTGGTGGAAATGAAGGGAGCTCCACATTTGGACGCGATCCTAAGGATTGTAAGGTATTTGAAGGGAGCTCCTAGTCGTGGCTTTCTATGTAAGAGTGGTGGAAATATTGAAATAGTGGGATATACAGATGTTGATTGGACTGGATCTATATCTGACAGAAGGTCCACTACAAGTTATTGTACTTTCCTTGGGGGTAACTTGGTGACATGGAAGAGCATGAAGCAGACCGTGGTGGCAAGAAGTAGTGCAGAAGCCGAATACAGAGCCATGGCACATACAACTTGTGAACTAGTATGRCCGAGAAATCTCCTACAAGAGATGGGGTAGTCGATTACCGCTCCGATGAAGCTATATTGTGACAACCAAGCTGCAATTAACATCTCCTCTAACCCAGTTTTTCATGAAGAACAAAACACATAGAGGTTGATTGTCACTTTGTGAGAGAAAAGGTTCTTAGTGGAATGACAAGTACATCATATGTTAATACAGGGAGTCATTGGGCAGACTTGTTCACCAAAGGGTTGAGTCGGGCAAGAGTGGATTATATATGTAACAAGCTGGGACTATATGATATATACTCTCCAGCTCGAGGGGGAGTGTTAGTGTCGAGTAAAGAAGGGTAGAATAGTCAATTAAGTTTTATTAATGAGGTGTTATGTCTTTATTGAGTGCTGATGAGTCCCAACTTAAATAGGGGCATAAAAGTCTTTTTCTATTCATTTTAGTAATGTATATATCCTGGCCGACCTAAGAGAGAATGAGAAAGGTTCTCTTCTCTTGGGTTCTAACATGCTTTTCTTCTTCTCCTCTTCTTCTCTCCCTCTCTCTCTCTCTTTTACTTCTTTTCTACATCAAGTTAAGATCTGAAACTGAAATCATCACAGATATAAAGCACGTCTTCTGGCTCAATGATACACATAAGAGTATGRTATCGATTATGAGGAGACATTTGCCCCAATAGCTAAAATTACTACAATTTGTCTTCTCTTGGCCCTTCTTGTTGTATACTCTTGGTCTATTTGTTAGTTGGATGTGAAGAATGATTTCCTTCATAGCCAACTAAAGGAGACAATGTATATGAAACCTCCTCTTGGATACTATAGTGATCATTTCTATGTCTGCTGTTGAAGTCATTGTATGGTCTGAAATAGGTCCCTCGAGCATGGTTTGAGAAATTTTGTGATGTCATTATTGTTGCCAGGTACAGTCATAATGCTTCTAATCATTCTCTCTTTGTCTGAAAAAAGCCTTAGGGTATCATGATTCTCCTCTTGTATGTGGATGATATGTTGCTGACAGGAGATGATGAAGAAGGAATTCAGGAACTTAAGTCTCTTTTTTCACAATCCTTTCACGTGAAGGATTTGGGCCCTCTCATCTATTTCTTAGGACTTGAAGTCCAAAGGAGTAAATGGGGGATATTTTATTTGCCAACATAAGTATGCATCAGATCTTATTGAGTTAGCCAGTCTTACTAACGATAAGCAAAGTTGATACTCCTTTAGAGCTAAATGTTAAGTCAGAAGGTTCCTTACTCCTTGATGCTAGACTCAATTGACAATTTGTTGGGTCTTTCATCTATCTTACTATGACTCGTCCTAACATCTCTCATGTGATTCAGGTCGTTAGCCAGTTTGTCTCAGCCCCTCATCAACCCCATTTGACTATTGTTCATCAAATTATTCGTTATGTTCGTGGTACAATATCACATGGGCTATTCTTCTCTTTGTCTTCTCCTATCCAACTGAGGGATTATGCCAATGTTGATTGGGTAGGCTGCCCTAACACCAAGAATTCCACTACRGGGTAGTGTGTCTTCATGGATGATTCCCTAAACTCATGGAACTACAAGAAACAACAAATGATCTCTAAATGATCTACAAAAGCTGAGTATGGGTTAATGCCATATGTTTGTAGTGAGATTTTTTGGCATCAATCACTACTTGAGGATTTTGATGTTCTTCTTTATACACCTATTCCTCTATATTTAGACACTAGTGCTATAAAGATTGTCTCTAATCCGATCTTTCATGCGAGGACGAAACATATTGAGATGGATTGCCACTTTGTTTCTTGCTAGTTCTATTTCACTTCCTCATGTTGCCTCAGATATGTAGATTGATGACATCTTTACTAAGGCCATGATGATATCTAGAACCTATTTCTTGTAAGCAAACTGATGCTGATGAATTTGCATCAGTTTGAGGGGGAGTGTGAAGAGTCCTGATGTTGCACTATACTATCATAGTCTCTATTGTATCTTACATATTCTTTGTTTCTTTCCTTTCTCTTCCTTTAGCCCTGTAAGGGCTTTTCTATAATTGTATATACTAAACTAAAATATTCATTTTGTGGGTTTATATACTAGTTCCTTTTTTAGTAATATCTATTGTATTATTATAATATTAAAAAACAAAGAATATAAAAGTGTTTCATGGCAGCATATACAAAATAGGTAAGTGGTAAAGGGGGGCAACCAACAATAGGCGCCTTGTCACCTAGGCATCGCCTTAAAACTATGATGTGGGCATTGATTATTACCTGCCACCCTCTCCTCATAATAGTTCTTAATGGTGGCCTCACTGTTGTGTACAATTTCATAAATGGAACTGAGCCACACCACACACATCTTTCCGGAACCAGATGTGTTCATCATTATCCACCTTGAGCAACACATTGGGATGGACAACATCTCTATGTTTCATAATGCTCTTCAATAAACTCGTAACATATGAACTCATAATAGGAGTTGTTTCCCACCAGATACCAGCATCGCCATATGTAGAATGGATTATCCTCTACCATAAAACATACTTCTCCCCATAACACCAAAGCGATTTCCCAAGCATATTTGTTTTAAGGGTTTCAAACTTCTCAAGCCCAAACCTATTAGACAGTGTATGCCCTTAGCTCCAATCAGCAATGATGTACATTATGATATTTATTGTAAATGAATAAAGTACATATTTGATTCATGTTATTATGGTGTGTTTCTGTATAATACCCTTAAACTGGACACATATGAGACTCGTGTTAGTTAGAATCTTCATAGTCGTTGGATAGATCTGGGGAGATTTATCCTGCCAAGCTGACACTGATATACTACCAAGTTGGTTGGGGTAAGCTTGTCTCAACTGCCAGGGTGAGACCTAAGGTACATGCAGTGTGGTTTTCTTGAATCCCTGAACTGGACCAAAATTTTAGTATTGCCCTGGACCTTGGAGATAGATGGGCAAAATTGGAATGTTACACCTAACCCCTAGACTCGATTATGATACTACACTAGGTGCCGGGGGCCGTCTTTGATGTGCCAATCAGTGAGATCTTAGAGGGGGTCAAAACCTAGGTATGTTGGGACAGTCCAAGAATTCATCTGAGTGAGTGATCATAGTGACAGGATCAGCCCCTTTGTCGGACAAAGTGAATGATCGGGGATGCACTCTCTCTTATGGAAACCTAAACTACCGGCAGTTGATTTCAACTGTTGAAATTTGGTTTTGCAAAATATATTTATATAGAGATACACACATATATATATTATGGTTTAAAAATGTTTGCAAAAGATTTTAATTCCCGGGATCCATGTGAGTAGAGATTGCAGCATTGCACCTTGCAAACGAGGGAAAAGTCCTCTCGTGTCGGGTAGTGTTTGATCATTATGGGCTGAGAGGTTAAGTGTAAGACCATTAAGGGTTATACCTAATGGGCTAATCTTGCATCTGCCCACAGTCCTTGGGCTTTCATAAGATGGCTGGACCCAAGGACCATTTAGTGTAAATGTTGGGCCAATTAAGAGCCCATAGTAATGGACTCAG